TTCAGATGACCTGCCTGTGCAGCCAGACTCCCTTTGTTCACCACAGGGGTCCCTTCTATCCCACCACCCCCATAATGCCAGGGTCCAGAGGAGCCATGGAGATGACGTGAAACTCAAAATTTAAATTTCAGAGAAAGACCAACAATGCCGTTTTTCCAGAGAAAGCCTCACGTCCTACTTCCTCCTGTGCTCTCCAGTGCTGTCATTTTGAGAAAAGGTGAAGTGAACTAGGAACTGGTCCTGCCCTACCTTGGCCAATTAACTAGCAAGCAGGATAACTAGAGAAGAAAAACAAGATAAAGACACCACCTTATAGTAAATACAGTGATGGCTGTCATAACTACTATTAAGGAAGTCCTAAGTATGAACCCAAAATTTTAGAAGCCAGTTATGTGAGTGACAAACAGTCTCTTTGAGAGATATGATCTAATTCTCAATGGCCATAAATTAACTAAATCTTTTACCAGCAGCACCCAACGTCCCTGAGGATGGTATCCTACTGATAAAATAACTACCGTTATGATCTCTAATGTGGATGAACACTACTTCAGACTTCTGTGGACCAGGAACCCCTTGTGAGAAGTTGATGCAAGTTCTCTCCTCAGAACACTCTGCTTAGTTTGTAGAAGGTTCAAGAACCTTCTGAGACCCATCTATGAAACCTGCTTATGTCCACAGACCCTCTATTCTCTGGAGTCTCTCTCAAATCCCCACCCCCAAGGTTCCTCCTTTTTCCAAATGTTCCAAAGAGTGATTATAGGGGTCAGGAATTTCAGTATTTTCATTTAAAAAAGATCTGTCTATGACACTAAAAGGTACCACTGCAAAATGGCAACAAATATATGCAGTGCCTCAAACAGTACTGGGCACATAGTAGCTACTCAATAAATATTTGCTAAAGTAATGAGAATTTAAGCAAATACTTATGCTACTTTCTTTTAAAAAATATATTTTATCAATTTTAGAAAGGAAGAGTAATAGAAACATCAATGAAGAGAGAGAATAATTGATCGACTGCCTCCTGCACATCCCACCCTGGGGGATAGAGCTGCAACCTGAGCATGTGCCCTGATCAGAAATTGAACCATAACCTCCTGGTTCATAGGTCAATGCTCAACCACTGAGCCACACTGGCCAGGCCTATGCTATTTTCTTAAAAGCCATATGACTCTTAGTCAACTCTCTTATTCCAAGTCTTTCAGCCAAAATTTAATATAATTCATCTCTAATTGAAATATCTAACATTTTTGTTACTACTGAAGAAATAAAGGCCTTTGTTAGGTCATTTAATGTTTCTTTGTTCAATACTAAGTAGCATTCTGATAGTACCCTCATATTAAAAACCACCACCAAGTTTTGCAAATTAGGAAAGCTCTAGTCAAATCTTAATTTATAAACAGCCAGACAGCAACATAAACCTCTTAAAAGTAACTGGCTTTATCATTCATCCCTTTCCGAAACAAGCCACTTACACATAGTGTCCATGTTTTCACCCTGTTCTTAATGCTTTCATTTCCTAAGTTTTACATTAAAACAGGTTGAATTAAGGCTCGTGTGTTTTCCTACCATAAAACCTTAAACTAGCAAATGGACTAATTTTGTCACTAAAAAATAAGCAAACATGACCTTTAAAACAGTTTTAGATTTACAGATACAAATTTATACACACTCACATCCCCTTTGGATCTATGTAAGTTCCTGGGTTTTGCATTTAATATAAATAATGTGTGTTCAATGTAAGAAGAAGAGCAGGAAGACATTAAGCCTATAGACGGGTCTGGAATTTTCAGAACTCCTTAGTCTCATGGCAGAAGTTCTCAGGGTTTGATTCAAGAACCCTTGATGCTCCTAGGGACCCTCACCTACCTCTTTGAGGGCAGATTTTCTTCGTATTCTTCCAAACAATGTTTCACAACAGAAAGAATGCAGAAGTTGATGAAAATCCAGCTATCCTTTTAAAACCAGGCGCGAAAGACATTTGCAAATGTGTAAGGCAAAGCCACTGTACCTACTACAACATGTTTTTTTTGAAAATAGTTCTTTTTCGTTAATAATGTTACCACAAATTATGTAGCTCTTTATGTGCTTAAGTGATTTTAAAATTTATTTTCTTTCTAATCCAGGAACATTTCAAAATATAAAACCCACAGAAACAAAAGTTCTTTGGCATTATCAACAATTCTAATTTAAGGATAGAAAAAGATTCTGAGACCATAAGGTTTGAAAACTTCTGCCCTGCAGCAACTGCCCTTGACCCTTTACTGGGTGAAAAAATACAAGGGCATTATAGGGCAATCAAGTAAAATTCAACTTCATAATTCAAACTACTTTATTAAAGAAATAAGTACTACAATATTTTAGGCACTAATGGTACACATCATCCTATTACTCATTGCTTCTCATACTCAATTTTACACAAAGTTTGAAGAGCTACTTAATTTTATATAGCTGCAGCAAAATCCCACTTATGTGGACAGTGAACAGTTTAATTCCTCTCTAGAGAATGAAGTTTAAGTAAATGTGTATGCTACAAATTAGTGGTTTCCCATTTTATATCATCACCTACAGTTTTTTGTAACTTAGCAAGCAGGAAACACAGTATGTATTCTGAAAATATTTTGAAATTATTACTACTTGTCAAAAATTTAATGTGAAAAAGGAAACATACAAATAACACATTATTTTATATTCTTAAAGATTGCTTTATGTAAGGTGACCAGACATCCCGATTTTTAACAATTTTTGAAAAATCGGGACTTTTTTAAAACACCTCGATGCGGGACAAATTGTTCAAAAGCGGGACGTCTGGTCACCTTAGCTTTATGCAATGTATCCAACATTTTGACTTCTATGCTGCCCACTGATTGCTAACGCAACATGTGGACTTAAAAACAAGCCACAGCTGCATAAAATTCAAGAACCACTTTGTCCTTCTTTAAGGACATAATTTATCATCTGTCCTCCATCTCACCATCACTTCCACAATAAATGAAGTTCTTGCTTACATTTTTCAGCCAAATATACATGTAGAAGATTATCAGACACATTCAGAAATAAACAAAGAGGTCTGAAAAATGCCCCTACTACCTTCAGCATGCAAATCTCTCCTCATTCCTGTTCCACACCGGCATTTCCCAGAGGTACATATCATAGTATCTCTTCTACAACTGCCTAGAATTTCTGCTGAAACTTTCTAGATTATATTTTAGGGTTTTGGTCTCCTTTCCTTGGTTCCTTGAAAAAGGCCTTGTGTGTATTGCTTCTCGGCCTTTTGGCTAAGATCAAGTGGAGAAAGGCCTTGTGATGTATGTGCCTATGTATCCCAAACTACAGATGCGTTTCCTATATTACTTTATATACAGTAAACAAGAAATGTACAGTGATTTAAGGCGAAACCATAATACTGAGAATAAAAAGTTAAAGTCCCAAACCTAGAAGTTAAATAAATGACAACATGCAGCACGCTAAAGGACATGGGCTCTCTCAGCATCTTTTGCCTTCTGTTCTCTGGTCCAGGATTAGGTATTTTAATTTGACACACTATAGGATGAACATGACAGAAAAAGTGATAATCTAGAGACAGCAAAACTGCAAAATAGAAAGGTCACCTCCACAAATCAGTCAGTTTACTTAGGTGTGTACTTTGTGAGGATACTTTATTCCTTAGCTGTAATTTTTTTCTCTCCCCAATATTTTCCTGAGAAAATTTACAGAACCAGAATTTAAAAACTAGCTACCCCATACTTTCACCATTATCCACTGCCCCCAACACATCCCGATACATAAAATATTCCAAGATCTATCTCAAAGAGAATTTTTAAAGTCCCTACTAATTCATTCTGGTTTGTGGATGTGGCTCAGTTGGCTGGGTGTTGTCCCGCCCACCAAAAGGATGCCTGTTTGATTATTAGTCAGGGCACATGCCTGGCTTGTAGGCTCAATCCCAGTAGGGGTGTGTGGGAGCTGCCCACCCATGTTTCACTCTCACATAAATATTTCTCTCTTCCCCTCTCTCTAAAAATCAACTAAAAACCTTAAAAAAAAAAAAAAAAAAAAAAAGATAAATCACACGCACACATACACACGGGGGGGGGACAAATTTTTCAGAATGAAAAGAATTGCCTATCTTCCTCCCAAACTCATAACAAAAAAGTTACTAGTATCTCCCCCCCCCCCCTTTTTTTTAACCAGTTAGATTTAAGATGGTCAAAATACTTCTATGTTCAAAAATAAAGAAGGGAGGGAAGGAGGCAAAAATTGTAGATTATCATTGCTGAAAAGCGACCAATTCTCACTCTATCTCATCATGACATTTGCGAGATGCATTTTAGATACAGATCTCCCCACAGCTACTGGCGGATACGTGTGCAGGCCTGACATGCGTTGTGTGAAATGCGTGAGAGCCAGGCGGGTGGAAAGATGAGCTCTCCAAGCACAGAATCCCCGGGTGCTGAATTTCCTTGTTTTTAAGAACTTAAGATGCTCGATTCTTTGGTCTAAAACAAATTTAACTTCAAGTTCACACTCCAAGGACAATTATGAAAAAAGAAAACTAGATATGGAAACCTAGCAACTAAGAGGCATTTGCAGAGGATAATAAATGGTTCAGGTAGAAATAACACATTACTAACCAATTTCACATGTGGATTGTGACCTCTTGCCTGCAAAACTAATTTAAGATAAAAAGTGAATACTCTTAAACTATAGGCAACCTAGCCTCAAAATGCAATGGGAAACATATTTTTAAGTGGGCCTGGGGCACATACAGATAATAGCAAATAGCTCTGCTCCAAAATCATATTGCTCTCATCTTACGAAAGTTTTATAAAAATACAGGGCTGGGGTGGGGAATAGTCGTATTTTTTTTTAAAAGCAAAAACCTGGTCATGAGGGAGACAGGGAAGATGTGCACGTCTGTGCTTGCTGTCTAAGGAAGGGCAGTGTGGGGTGCACTACGGGAAGGGGGTATGTTTGTGTACAGCAGGCGTGAGAGTACTTACTGTGCCAGGTTCTCTGTCTGCTCCCGAGGTTACCAAGAAACGCACAGACATGCCCGTTCAGACACAGAGGCAAGAACAGAAATAAAAAAAAGGGGGGAATAATTAGAACACAAGCCCCAAACAGTTTTAAAAATGGCTTTTATTTATATAAGTCATTGCACATTCCTAATACAGTGATTTCCTGAAAATTACAGTATTTTGTAAACATAAGATTTACAGTTTAACCATACACAAAGCCTATTTTTTTTTATTTCTTGACAGAATAAATTACTTTTCTTCAAAAAATTAGTCAAGTGCAATTTTGCTCAATATTTAACGCATACTAGAATTAAAGCCTATGAAGCTAAGTAGTAACAGATGCAATTATCAAACCTCTCATTTGAACACATTCACTTTCAGATTTAACTTCTTATTTCGCCCCATTTAACAACATTACTTTCTTTGAAAATTACCCAATTGAGCAGTTAACAGTTTTCCATAATATGGTACAGGCCACTGGCATTAACTAGGCAGTTGCCAAGATGTCAAGATGCCTGCAATCTAAAGAGATCGAGAAATCTACAGATGCCCACACTAAACCCTGAGAATTTCCAGGGTGAGCTGTCTGTCAGTGGCCAAGCTTTGCGGCAGTTCCTCTTAGCTCACTGTTTGCTCTCTGAATGGGTCGGGGCTTTCTTTAGCGGTGCACACAACACGGCAGCACTGTATGGGTGTGAGGACAAAGTCCTAATCTGGCTTGCCCGGCCGCTCACCTCTGTGGTGGTCTGCATCATGGTGCTTCTTGTCATCTTTTATTGCCAAGTGAGACTGCCCACTAAGGGCACTAGACAGCGCCAGAAGGCCGGCACTGCCGCCCAGGGGCGGGATCCCAGGCGGAGGAAGTCCTGAAGGGTGAGGCGTAAGGGGGACTGGGGGTCCGTGGCCATGAGAGAGATGCTGAGCTTGCAATTGCTGCTGCTGTTGGTAGTGGTGAAGGAAGGGGAGGAGGAGAAGGAGGAGGAGGAGGAAGTGGAAGAGGAAGAGGAGAAGGAGTTGTTGTTGGAGTTGGTGATGGCAGTAAGCAACATCCAGGGGAAAGTGGACGTGACGTGAGGATGGAGAACAGAACAGGAGGGTAACATACACACAAAGGAGTCAAAGAGGGAGTCAGAGGGAGGAAAAGAGGGGAAAAAGGTGATTAATACTTTCAGTTCATTAAAAGCTTTTACCTGATAAGATACAATCTTCCCAAAATATAATCCTCTGATCTACACTGTCACTTTCTGGCATTAAGTTACCCCCTGAGAATGTAGCTGTTTATTATCATCAGCAATCCTAAATTAGTAGCCCCTCACATGTTTGCTAGTTCCATCTCTAAGTGCCTGGAGGGATGAGATCCAGTATGTCATTGAATCTAAGATGCCACACATTCAAGACTCATTCTGATTTCAGAAAGGCTAAAGCTGGGGAAGTGCAGATATGCACCCTACAATATAGTAACTGAATAGTCATCAGTATTAAGTGACTCCATTTCACCCCGCCTTCTTGCATTAACTCACCACAATGGTATAATATTACGAAAGAAAACCAACTTATTATCTGTAACAGAACTCAGAGAGCTGGAGAAGCTGTGCGTCTCTTATGCACCCTACAGGCATGTGACCTTATTTCACTAAGCCCTCGCTGTGAGTAGGTTTCGATGTTCCCATTCACCAGAAGGGGCCACGCCCAGAGCACTGAGAGAATTGCAGAGGCTCTCCTGGCAGGTGGGAGGGGAGTGGAGTCCATGTAGGAATGACCCTTAAGACTCACTAATCACTGAGACTCCACATGCAGAGGGAGGTCTCAGGGAGCCAGGCATGTGACAGGTGGAAGAAGCTTGTGAGGTGAAGTGTTGTTTGTCCCGTACTTCCTCTGAGCTCCATGCCCCGAACCCAGTCCTTCAACATCACAAGGAAAACATTGAGGCCCAAAGAGTCCAAAGACCTTGATGGGAAATCACTCGCACTGTCCTATGGGACACCAACCACAGACACCCAAGTCCCCAGTCCCAAATGCCACTGCCTCTATAGCTTAACCCATTCCAGAGGTCATAAATCTTCTCACATTAAAAAGTATCACTGCTCTCATATATTATATTTAAGAGCATGATGTAGAAATGAAAAAGTATCTAGAAATGGCCCTTGTACCATAAATCTGGCCACATTTCAGCTGTCCAACCGAAAACTCGTTTTTGATGAGACAGTAAAAACGATTAAAGCTCAATTTCTAAGGTGTATTGTTAGGAAATTCTGAAGATTCTGATTTGTGCGTACTTCCCTGGGACTCAATTACTCGTTTTATTTATTATGCCCTGGCGTGTACTGAATATATTAAACCTCACACCAGACCTTCAGTAATTCCCACCCAGACTACTGATCTTTAATTGAATTCTGAGCATGTTCCCCCTCCAAGAGCGGGAGAAAACAGCATCTGAAAAGCAGAAATCAGTGTCTTACAATCGTTTCACAGTAAATCTTCAACTCCTACCAGCATCTTTTAAAAAAATCTTTAGTTCCCTTTCAACTTCCATTCCTCCCAAAGAGAGCACAATTCTAATTAGAGGGAAGTTGGAAAAGGGAGAGAGGAGTCCAAGAGGATAGCTTTAACAGTATTCTTGAAAAGTATTTATAAACTACTCATTCGACATTTGAGATCATAATAACAATTTCTTTACGCATAAAATCACCTTCCTGTCATCCCAGAGACACTAATTCTTGCTCTGTCACCTTTTAAGAGCTTGGCAATAGCAAGACATAAAATTGAAGAAGCTGGCAGTGCGTCACGGTCCGCTAGGCATGCTCATTAGCACTTAATTAGGAACTAGACACCTGCCATAAGAAATGGGCTTGCAGAAGGATGAGGACCAGGTCTGCCCTACCAGCAATTACTATCATTACTTGGAGAATAAGAGCTATGTCCGGCTTCTGGGAGGGAAATGCAGTGATGCATACACAAGAAGCAAGAGCGGCGGGGTAATTAAGCACAGCACCGATCAAAAGAAGATGAGAGAGGCTAAGCAGAGGGGAAGGCAGTTAACTACAGGGTTGAGGACGTCACCCTACCATCACCCCCTGCACACCCCTACTCCCCAAAAACTCCAGAATCCAGACACCAAAAGTCGACTTCAGAGAAGGGATTTGATGTCAGAGCAAAGGCAGCATTTGGGGGAAGCCGATTTCCTGCCAAACCCAAGTCAGTTTTTAGAAAAATGATCTGGAAAGTATTCTCTGATAGGCTGTTGAAAAAAAAGGTTAGCTTATATAATAAAGGGAAGTAGATCCCGTGGTTAAACCCAACATTTAGGCTAACAACTCAGTGGGGATATCCTAGAGCCTAACTGGCCACAGGCACCTGCACCTCTACCCCCCTCTGCTCTGAGCTTCCCCCTTGAAGAACAGCTCTCTGTCCATTATTAGAGGCAATTAGGTTTTTCCATCCTTAATGTGGCCATGTTGAGAGCTTGTTTTGTGTGTTGCTGTTTTTTAAGCAAATCCTATCAAAATGGAAGGCTTACTGGGAAGCAACAGGAAGGAGCAGCTATTGAAGATACGGCAGGCCCAGGAAACAGGGATATCGCTGTCTCACGTTTACTTCTTTATCTGGCCAGAAGAGCTCCCAGATAATATTTTCATCTTCAGTATCTGGCCTGTGCTCAGAACACACCTGGGGCAGGGAGGGTGGGCATCATGGCTCCCATTTAGCAGACGACAAAGGGTTGCTTGACTTGGGGCTCATAGGTGGAAGGATGACTGCAAAGCTTTTGTTCCCCAGAACAGCATTTCTCCTGGGACCACAGCAGCATGGTCACATTCACAAAAGCCCTCACATTTCTCTCCTTTCCCAGGTACTGAGAGGCTCAAGGGCACGAAATACTGCAAACTTACCACTGGACCTTTACCTGGAGACAGACCCACCCGCACCATGGAGACTAGCAGAGATGGATGGGCATTTGATCTGAGGTTTGTGGCTCTAGAGTGTCCATTCCCCTGTCCCCACTCTCTAACACCCTGTCCCTACACTTGAAAAAGGAGGCTCTGTTTGGCTCCAGCTCTCTTCTAAGGAAGTTTATAAAGAAGAATCAAGCCTAAACACAGAGCGCTCTGGCTTCTCTCAGAACAAGATGCTTAACAGATAAGAAGTGTTTCTTAAGATAAAACATTTACTGAAAGGAATAGAGGGCCCTCATCCTAGAGAGTGAAACAATTAACTCGAAAAAGGCAGCCCACCTGCTCCATATGTCTTTGGAAAAACATTTTTTTCTCAACAAGGCTTACCTGAGACTGGCAATCTAGCACCCATCACCTTCACTAAAAGAAAAACCATTTATGCTACTTAAACATATGTTTTAAAATAAAGGAACTACTGACATTGCTATCCAGCCAGAAAAAACCTCAAAAAAACAAAACAAAACAAAAAAAGCAACCACCATCAACTAATGGCTCTCCCCATTGGGGGAATTTATATGCATCAGTCCTCTGTAGACTATAAAATGTTTCTCAACATGACAGCAAGAGTGGGAAAAATGCAACCATCTATCCATTTATTAGTTTATACTAATAAGTAAACTTTTGTCCTAAATTAATGCTTATAGATCTATACAGCACAGAACACAAAACAGTTAACAAGCAATCAGAAAAGGCATTTTGGATGAGCAATGGTGGTTTTTAGCAATACAGCTGGTTAAGTTATCAAGCTAGACAGGTGGGCTCCCACAAGGAGCAATTTTGACATTCCTTTGCTCCAACCCAGGAACACTTGGCAAAGTCTACAGACATTTATGGTTGTCACACTGGGGATAAAATGTTACTGGCATTTAATGGGTAGAGGGGCCAAGGATACAGTTAAACATCCCACAATCCACAGGACAGTCCCCACCAAAAAGGATTGATTATAAAGCCCAAAATGTCAATAGAGCTGAGGTTAAGAAATTCTAGATGTAAGCTGGAATTCTGTCCCATTACATTAGAATTCAGGTTCTTAAAACATCCATAGACTTGTCAAATTGTTTTAAAAAAAAGAAAATACTTCTCAACATTCGACTTTTCATTTTCCTGTCATCACTACCTTGTCACAATTCAAAAAAAAAAAAAAAAAAGAGCATCTACTTTCTTGACTTGTCGGAACCAACAATTTCAAATAAAAACAAACAAAAACTTTCTGTTCTACAAAACAACTTGGAAAAGGACTACACAGGTAACTTTTACATATCAGTGTTCTGCTGCTCAAAGGCGATTACGAAAGGGTAATGTGGTAAGGCGATGAATGCACTTGCTCTCTCCCAAACAATCTGAATAGGCTGAGAGTGAGCCACGTAAAACAAACACCAAACCCTGAGTTAATGATACTGAAAACCCACAAGGAATAAAGTAACCTCATCCATGTCAAACAACAGCCACACATTCTGACTTGTAATTCCTGCTACTATAATGAACATGACTTAGCTAGCTGTTTACATTCAGAGCTTCAATGTATCGGTCCCGTGTTTCCACATTTTTGTTTCTCAGCCAGGTGTGGCGTGGTGCTTTATCACCACAGAGCTGCCTATACAACAGGAAAGACAACCAGAACACACGAGAAGGCCGCTGCTCACCTCACCCTCACTAGATGCTAAATTCTTCATCACCAACCACAAAATCAACTTGAATTTAACCCGGTATAACCTCAGGAAAAACGATGTCACATAGATCACAAAATGAACCCAACCCAAACTAAAACCACGTTGCATGGTTTTAAAATAGCATTTCTAATGCTGAAAGCGTGACAGTAAGTGGCATTTATGGCACTTGGTATTTAAACGTTTTTAAAGTGAAAATGATGTGGGAAGTAGCATTTATTGACAGTTCTCTCCAATCACTCTTACTTGATTTCTGTTATTTCCCTGTTCTTTAAAACACTCACTTCTTTTTCTGCACTGGCATCTAACGGGTAGAAAAAGA